CTTACTCCCACAACTACATCTATTCCGTCTTTTCATATATGTATTTGTACATGGGCTTTTCGGGAGTTGGGTAAGTATATAGTGCGGAAACACCGGTGCGAAAACAAATTCTCGCCGAATTCCATTAACTTATTTTCGGGCTGCAGTTATTAAATTCCCGTGGAAAGGATATACGCGGGCGGGTCTTAATCCAATTAGTATTCAACGCATTCTGCATTAAGCGTTGTTTAACTAGACGCACCAACTATTTTGTTTTTGTTGGTGGCGGGGTGCCGTTGCGAAGTTGTTTTAATGGCTTTTCCCTCGGTTGCCTCTTTCAGGGCGATTGAGTTCTGGCCAAATGCTCTTTAAGAACTACATTTGAATTATGTCTTCAGGGGAGATTCGATCTTTCTCTCTCAACTTAATCTTAATTATTTTACATACTGCTAAACCTATTTTAGTCGCTAGTTCAACTAAATTATATTTAAATTAACAATATCTAACATCTAACAAAAATGAAATCAAAGTTTTCTAGAAGCTATATAATCAATTCCAGAAATTGTTAAGATTATAAACTTTGTAACGTGGTAAAATCGACAACGCTGCAAGTGCGCTCCACGTTGCAACTATGTTTCAAAAATTCGAAGAGACCGCAGCGAACCGCGAAAGAAGACGGTTGAGGTCTCCAGTTTAAGAAGATATTCTGATATATTTGTAATCTCCAAGAGGACGGTGTTGGTGCTCTAGAGGAGCTAAGGCCCACCGTCGGAGAAGAAGTTGCTGATCTGGAAGCAGTTGTTAGAGTTCTTCCTCTCTATAAAAAGAAAGTGGCGCCCTGAACCTTCCCACGTCACGGACTCACGCCCTAGCGGGTTGAAGATTGGTTTATCTTGTGTTTTTTATGTACACGAGTGTTATCGTGTTACAACTTTTATATTTTCAATTATAAACTTTCTGTTACTTTTATTTATTTTACCCTACAATCGTGTATATAGTAGTTGTCAACACTACTGACAAACTTATTTCCTATATATCTCATTTGTGTTTTCAATGTAGAAATGTCATATAAATGATATACAAGATACACATTTTTTTCTATTGAAAAAAGTCTACATTATTTAAAGTATAAGAAATCTTAAGAAACTTTGGTTTGATGTTGCATATTTCTGTTATTAAATAAATATATATAATTTGCATTGAATATGATTCAATTCACTTTCGACGGCTATAAACAATACGTTCTTAATAATAACCGCAACAGAATTGTTTACAGCTGTGTGACCTCATTTTATTCGCACTACATTCGCTTATTATGATCAATAAAATTGTATGCCACAATAATACTGATAATATTGATACATGTTTTCGCATTATTGTTAGAATTTGACATGGTTTTATAGTTTCTAAGTACTAAAAATATAGTATTGGAATATTTTAGCAAATTATTTTAATTTATTATGCATATTAATAAGAAAGTTACTTTTACTATAATAAGATTATGTTTGCTTTGAACTTAACAATATTAAAATATGTACTAATGTATGTAAATGTGAATAACTTCAAAAATCAGTAAATACGAAATATTTGCGACATAGTTAAATATTAAAGATTTGGAATTTAATACAAATATGTTTTCAATTATTGATCAACAAATATTCAAATTAAAAAAAGAATACAAAGACAAAATGTTATCAATGTTAATAAAAACAAATTAAAGTTTTTGATGATTATTTAATGTATATAATACATGGAAATTGAGTATTGTACTCGACTTTTACATATTCTATTGATATTTTTTTTTACTTAATTCATATAAAACCCTATAAAAAGTTCAAAGCTTTGAAATGCAAAATGATCAGTAATCACTTGGGACGGTAATGCTATAGAAAAATATGTATGAAAATAAGTACGGCCTTTTCCATTCGAATTATTAGTTTTCAGTGTGGACAAAAGAGGGCACAACTAAGTTTTAACGAGGGGTTGAGTTATCATGTTTCTTTCTGGATGGGGCACATTAGAAATCAATTGTTGCGACGAAGGCGTATTTGTGACCTGAGGGGGTCATCATTTAGACATCGGTCGTGAACAGGGCGAGACCCATCGAAGTCGTTTCGGTGGCCCCGGGATGCGCATTATTCATCGCCCCCAAGAGAAATCGCATCCCTTTCTCTCGCACTCTCTTTCAACATGCCCACCCATCCTCCTCCTCCACTACTTCCTCCTCTTTCTCTTCCTCCATCGTCACCGCATCCTTGATTCTTCGTCGCGGAACCCTCGCATCCTGCAACCCTCAAAATCGAGACCGATTTGAATATTCATAAAACCGTTTAAATATAAGCGATACAGCGGTGTAAATGGTAATTCCGCATCCTCCGTTCGGCATACCGAATATTGCGGAACCTCTGAAAATGGTTAAACCCTCTCTCGCGAAAAAAAAAATAGAAATAGAAATAAACATTTTGCGACACTTGTGTTGGGTGGGAAGCTTCGCCACATGTGCGTTTCGTGTATGTCCCATATGTTGCACCGTTATCAGTGCACTAAAACCAACCCCTCCGACCAATCCAATCCCCCCGATAGTGCTTATTGCACCGATGCTAACGCGATATTAATGATGGAGTGGACATTGGATATTACATACATTAAGGTGCGCTTCACTGATTCCATACAGCAAAACCAGTCATTGTTTTGCTGCAAAACGCCTGAAACAATGCGATGCTTTCCCTCATCGCCCGTTTCGTCTGCTTGTTTTTTTTCCAATATTTTTTTTGTATCGTTTCATAAATGAGTCCCCAATTATTATCTGGATTCAATCACTTTCGCTCGGCCCTTTATTTTTCATCCGCGCGACGCGTAGCCTCGATGTCCACAACCAATCATCCTCCTCCACATGAAACAAAAATATATTTCGACAGAAGATTAAACACGTCCATCGAGAAAATGAATAAATCAATCATTACGCGAATAACAAAAAAAAAACCTACAAACACTCAGAAATAAATTACAATTAATATTCTGTCACAAATAAATCTTATACAATTATTTGCTTATTCATTTAGCTATTAATTATTTTTTGTTATTATTGATTAATTTTACTATAGAATGTTTTTTTTATGATTTTTTATCAATATTTTACAAAGAGAAATAACATGTATACATTATCTAATATTAATGTTAATGTCAGTTAGTAACGTAAATTCAAGTGAAAATCGATGGACATGAATTTTTCACATCTAGTATAATCATTCTACGAGTTTATATTTAGTAACCAAATTTGCAGCTGCAGCATATAAAAAGCAGACTCACCGTGAACTCAAAAATATTTTATCATTTCCATGCTACCGTCGTTATAATATAATGATAACATGAATACTGTAATTATACATGCAAATCGCAATCTTACACAATTTTCTCTTCTCTTTCTATAAAAGGTTTAATTATTAATTATATGTAAATTACCTGAATATAAATCAAAGTAAATTAAAACTCAAAACTTTTCTCGTATTTACTTTTTACAACAGGACATAAATATTCTAAAATAAAAAATAAACCTCTTTATATTCTCATTACTAATTAAAACAGTATCTAATTTAATTGAATAATTAGTATAATCTCTACAGTGGGTGCTGGAAACTCGGTATCATCATTGATGTTTCCGCAACAAAGATAGACACTGTTCAAATTCTGCATGTCAAGCAAACGCACGTTTCATGGATGATTACAGTTTACGATTCGAAATTTCTGAAACAATGGCTTATTTACAAGCGCAATTTAATTCAATTGAATCATTGCGTTTTATGCACGGGTCAACGTTTCAAATCCGATTCCGCTGCTGATTAATGCTTGAATAAATAACGCGTTTAGTTAACGTTATTTACAGCATTTATGATTCATATTTTTGTTTAAAAACCGTCTCAAATGATATTTAAATAAAGTGTGTATTTGTTTATTTCACAGTCTGTTCATTACTAATCATAATACAAATTATTACGTATGAAGAAACGTAAAGTAGATTGCATATAAACATTTAAAAAAAACACATAGATAACACTTTATTTCATTAAATTTTGCCTTTAAATGGAAATTATTTGGAAATTGTAATTTAAAAATCCTTTTAATAATATTTCAATTTGAAAAAATATGTATATACATCAGGTAAATTGTTGTGTTTCAAACTTATTGATGAACCAATTAATATTTAAATAAATAGTAATTTATTATGAATGGAAATTGAGTGATAATTCAATGGAGCATTTAAAAAATAAAGTTTTAATTTGATAAGATAATGGTATCAGCAGTTATTGTTGGAGCAGTTGTTCAGAAAAGAGCTGTACACGCAAATTCTTGGGAGTCTAGAATCAGTTAGTCATGAGCAACGCTGGAGTGGTTGTTTCAGTCATCGAGGATTTATTGTTTTTCGTTTTTATTGTACGTTTAATTATTACACGTTGCGAATTTCGCGAAGGTAATGCACGGTAAAGACAGTTATTCGCAACATTAATGACGATAGAGTTCTTCCTTATTCGGGGCTGGAAACCAATTTAGGTGTCATTTGGGGCCAGGTGGATAGAACTTTTGATCACCTGCCTAGAATACGCACGATACGTTACCGAACAACAACACGAGCACTCGAGCGACACAACATCGGAATATATTCATACGGAAGTGCCATTGTGTCAGCCAGCATGTATATGGAAGTTATATGAAAACCGTACAATAATTGTATTATCGTTGAGCCGTGTGTGTGTGTGTATATACGATGGTTTGGATATACTTATGGCTCAGTGCTTGGCTCGGTCTCAATCGATAAACAACAAGTCGGTCTAGTCCGTTCTGTTCTGGTTGGTGGTGGTGTGCGGGTTCAAGTCGGCTCGGATTGCTGACCACAACAGAATATTTCTTTCTCTTGGTAAACAAGAACTGTGGATGGGCGAGTTTTGAATTGGCTTGATTGGATGATGCCGAGCGCAACAATATGAAATGCTCCCACCGTCGTACGTGGATTGATGTCATCCTAAATTCCGAACTTCCGTCTGCATCTCAACTCTGTATCCAATCGGAGCACGGCGTATCGATTCCGATTAGGTACACCCGTCTCCATTCTCGGTCCCCTTGCCGGGAAGCCTATCTCCAACGTCGAAATGTTTATCGCTCTGAATAGTAGTGCATTGATAAGGAGGAGACGTGTGTCAATCATTCGTTCTGTAACTGCCTCTCAGTTATTTACACAACGCCATCCGCGACGCACGCTGCAATGAGCAGTTTGGACGACAAGATCACCTATTTCAATCGAAAGGCCTGCCCCACGAAGCCGGCAATGGTCCAACCGAAGGCCAATGAACAAAAAGTTAGGCCGCCGGTTCCGTTACGCAAGTTCAAGTTTGAACCGACGAACGCCGTGAAGAAACCGGCAAGATGCAGCTCGATCTGTGTGGATTTGGAGGTGACGAGACGCGAGATTCGCGAGAAAGTCAGGAAGATCAACAGCCTGATTGCCAAGGACACCGTTCGATCCTTGGACAGAAAAATTGTGCAGCCTTACGATACGACCATCATCAAATGGAATGCTGGATACAGGGATCCCGTCATACCAAAGACGGCGAACGTGAAACGCACCATATCAAAAGTGACACCACCGCAGATTTATAAGAGGATAAACGATACAAACTGCAGACAACGACACAGGTCAGTGATACAACCGACAAAACTAGTTTTTATGCTCAAAATATAAGAGAAAAATATTTGGCATTTAAAAATAGATTTACAGAAGCCTAAATTGGACCATTTTGATATATCATAAATTTACTTACAATAAGAAAGTTTGCTGGAAAGTTTATGACTTGGGGACAATAGAAATTGTAAATAATAGAATAAGAAAGGTATATTTACAAATTATATTAATAAAATAAATTTGTTGTAAATACAAGTCATTCAATCAAACATTAGATTTTCCTCACGCTCATTGTTTTTTATAGCAATTCCAAGAATCAGGAATAAAAACAATTGTTAGCAATCATTGATTGTTTTCATAAATATTGTTCCATTATATTATGCTATCGACATCGCAATGAGGAACTATTGTTATATCTTTCATCGTTAATCTCTATTTGATAACGTTTTTTTCTACATTTATATGAGTCATATCGTGCTTGTATTTGCATACATGTATGAATAATTGTAATTCGCGTAACTGTTGTTTCTAATTTGGTTTACGTTGCGTTTGGTAATCAATATCACATTATAACTGTCAATCGATCTGTATAAGGAATATCTCAAATGATAAACAGTACATACAGTATATTTATCAAATTATTGTATAATGATGCCAAATTTATTTATTTTTAATCGTCATCATCGGTCAAATAAAAATAAACGTAACCTCGGGACGATGTTAATAGTTGTTAAATCCGATGAGCCAAATGCGGAATACAATAAACGGAAGTGGTTGAAGACATAAGTACGAAATAGAGTGTTGTAATAATCGGATTGAGACTTTTAATATTCATTAATTGTAAACGCAAATATTTGATTTTTTATTTCGGAATTGAAAATCAAACAGATAACGGCGCTCTTTTTATTTTATCTGTTGTTTAATCATTGATATTGTGGTTACGCGAATATGTGTCTCATTATTTGGATCAAGGACGTTTCTCTTTTTCTCACAGAAGCGTTTATGTATTTACGCTGAAAGAAGATCTTCGACTAGCGGATATCCGTTTTAGTTTTAAGATATTTGTAACCATATAACTATGCTGATAAGATACGTAATTTTAATATCACGACTATTTTTTAGTTTGGTAAATATGTTTGTCTGTCGACAAAAGGAAGGCATTGACCTGTTTTGCAAATTAGTTCTAAAAGTAAAATAGATAATTATTATTAAGTAAAAATAATTAGTTATCTCGCATAGTGCGGATTATGGGTTCCGATAATATCCCGGACAGTTTGTCAATAATATAAATTCAAATGCACAAATTCAGCGAAACAGCTACTGAATATTTGCTTAGTAGATAGTAATCTGAGTATAAACAGAATTTTTTATTGTGGAATGTTAATATAAACTGTATACTTGAATAATTTTAAACTATGCAAAAAAACGATTACATATGATTCGAAAAACTGTGTCTTTACATTTTATCGTATTTATCCATTGCCACAAGCAGCACATATATCAATAAGCTATCAAAATAAAGTCGAATAGGGTATAAAACGAGTGTAGATTCATATTTGTGTTATTCAAACTATCAAAGCTGAAAAGTGATTTATTAAGAGTCGAAAAAGGAGTGCATTTTCATTTTATCGTATTTCTCTTAAACCACCTACATCACATAAATCAAAGCTATTTAATTAAAATAGAAATATAGGGTATAAAACCTGTGATATTCGTTGTTTGCTATTAAAGTTATTCTGAATATAATGAAATTTTAAATTCAACAATTTTATATATGTAACAAAATGATAATTAAGTTATTTTTTGTTATTAAGAGGCAAATGAGCGTTTAAAGATAAAGTTACGAACTTTACTGAAAGCAGTAATTAAACAGTGAGTGCGAACATATTTTTGCATCGTAAATGTTGCTACTATTATTTCGCGTATTCTTACGTATGCCCGAATGTAAAATCCTTTATGTCAGTTATGTTTTCACTTAGTTGTTAGAGGATATTCTCTCGTGAGTTCAGTGCTCAAGCATTTTTACGATTCGCCATTCCATGCAGCTGCCCTGAAAAACATGAAACGCTACTATATTTATATTATTATCCTTTTAATGCATACAATGGCGACGAGCGCTGGAAACTCTTTTAAAAGTCAACAAATAGATGCAACTGCGACGTAATATTTTTTTTACGTAAATATTATGACAGCACCAGTCTGTGAGCATATGGAGGAAGGTGCGTGAATATGGCCGTCCGACGATGCAAATCTTTATTCTCATTTCTACACAAATCCTGAGCCTAGGCTTGGCTGGGAATCCGGAGAAATGTATTCATGGTCGTCGTCTGAGGGTGTATTCCTTGGCTTTTGCGACGGGGAGGAATAATAAAGGACACACACAAAAAAAACGAGAAACCAAAATGAAATGGATAAAAATGCAAAACTCGTGATGTGTATGTGTCTGTGCGATGCGCGTAAGGGATGGAAGAGATGGAGGAGGGTCGGTCGCCTCTCTTATTTGGCATGCAGAGCGAAAACTGCATCTGGAGCCGTTCAGACCATCAGTATAACTACCCTCTTCATACGTCCACTGTGCGGATGGAAAAAATCTACAAAAAAGACACGACACACCTAGTCACCTACGTGAGAGCACTAAATCTACGTTCCCCAACGTCGAGGGAAATGTATATTACCAAAGTATATTTGAATAATATAACTGCATATAATGGGCTTCCCCTATCCTTAGGGTGTGAACCTATATAATCTATTTTAAATGTCTTTAAACAATATTCAAACTACATTTCATTTATGCATTACAGTTTATATGTAAATATATTTTAAAACTAAAAGTGATTACAATTCATACCAAAAACGGTTAATGTATGAAATATAAAGATATACTATAAAAGCTGATTTTTTATTAAATTTATTTACTTTTACAAAAAAAACTTAGAAAATTCCATATTATTATACTTATTTAACTATTAATAAACATATTGACACTTTACATATTTTTAAATTAAACTGTGGCTTCCTGTTGTTTTTTGTATAATTTATTTATTTCGTACATACACGTTTTTTTATCATCTTACATTTTTATAATAACATAATGTAATAACATAAATAATAACATAAATTTAAGCATGTAAATACATCAATTTGTATTGAAATGAATAGAAATAATGAACGTAAATAGTTTAACTTTATTAAAACGTCTTTTCGTTTTGAATTCAATTCAAAGAAGCACTTTGTTCGCGTCAAAATTGAAGCGAATAATCTGCTGTAAGTAGAAACGTAATTTCCGGTTACTCATCATTTAAGTACGTTCGCAGTTGGCAATTTGTATATTAAGATAAAACTGTTTAGGTCATAGAAACTAATTTGATAAATATGTTGTGCACGTCAAAAAATCTAAAGTAATTGATTGAAAATGTTCGAGTATAGATTTTTTTTACAAATGACATATTTATAATGGAAAGTAATGGAAATGTGAAAGCAATTTCGATTTGTTGTCGATGGAGATTTTGACGTTTGACAGTTGCAGGTGAATGCATCAAACCGAAAGTGTAATACTGGGAATAGCGGAATATATCAATTACATTTATGAACCCTGCATATGCGAGGGAGATGTAGTGTAGTGTGCATGTACTTGTTGGTATTAGGTTTCATTACATCGGATGCATTAATTTTCTACGGGTAGAAACCGCCACCAATCAATGTCTGCAAGGGTGAAATTTATGCGAGCGAGCAATTCCGATACATTACATTTGCTATGTGCAATTCCCTAAATTCACAAACTCCATTGCGTCTAACTTTACTAAATTTATATACTAATTATATGAAATTATTTAGTAATTATATATACATTTATATATTACTGTAGAACTATACAATTCAGTAAATATTAACGCTTAATTTATAGTATTTACGTGAAATTTTCATAAAGATAATTTCAATGAAAAGTTATACTTTAACACATTATAAGTTTTCAAATTTTATTATTTGTGAATAAAATTACTTATAAAATTAGTATTGTCACGTAGAAATATTAAAAATTGTCAATTTTCATTTAAAATATCATTAATATTATGAATCTGTAATTAATTTAATAGGTTTATTAGTGTGTTTTTTCTTTAATAATGTAGGAAACATGTTTTTTTTTGTATTAAAAGATTATTTTTCATTGTAATAAAATCATGAAATTAGCACATTAATTTTGTCTAAAACAATTGTTTTATTATTCTACTTATTGATAAATAGTATCGTTTTCGTTATCTGCTATAAATGCGTTTTAAGAAACAGTTTCTAATCTTTTCTAATTATTGTTTATATCTACAGTTCTTAGGAAAAAAACAAAACAGATTTATTATCCATTTTACCATACATTTAGTCTAATTTAGTAGGGTTGTTCTCTACTTGATTTTACAAAAATTGAAATCTCAAAATTTGCATTTTTTCTTGCCATTCTAGACTTCCATCCATTATTATTTTCCGCCTCGAGCTGCATTTTTCCGTTGTACCCTTTTGTTAGCTGCTTAATATTTTTTTCCAGCTTTTTATTCCTGT